ACACACAAACCTGTCTGTGCTGGGACCAGGTGTTAAGCTGATATGCCACTACAGCTCCCACAGTAAACTCCCAATCTCTCACACTGTCTCTATTGACTATGGCTTGCTTGACCGAAAAGAAAATTGTACAGCTGTGTGTATGTACGTGAGAGGGAGTGTGGGCACATAAGTGAAAAAAAAATCTTGAAAGAGAGTACACAAAAAGCAGGTGGAGAGAGAAAGACAGAGAGCGGTAGAGAAACCATTGTATCTCACCAGGTGAGGTCAAAGGTCTGCATCTTTGATGCTGAGCTTGGACTGAGCATCTTAGCACGACGACGAGCACTGGAAACAGTCACCATGACAACCCGACACAGCACAACTGCATTGACCTGCAGGCAGAGGACAACAGCATCAACATGGCCTCCAGCTAACACGAAACGTGCCACTGCAGATCCACTTGGCCTAAAGCTCACATGAAGAGGAAAGAAATGTTCCCTGCTTGCTCAGGCTGCAGAAAATCAGAGCAAACAGTACTCAGCAACGACTGTGCATTATTATAGTTTTCTTTTTTTTTGACACTTAATTTTTATTAAGCAAGTTTCCAAGAGAAATTATACATTCATCACAATATCAGAGTGTGAATGAAAAGGATCAACACAATTGAAAGTACAAAATGTAACAAAATGAAACAACATGGTAAAATGGGAGTGCCCTCTATTCAAATGTGTGCAGCATCACCCTGATCTTGTGTTAAATATCTTAATCTATGGTGTCAGTTCCTCTTATTTTTATATTCTATCCATTTTTCCCACTTTGACTGAAGCTTCTCCTCCTGTATCCTCAATATACGTGTTAATCTCTCCATGTTAAATATTTCCTCCACTGTTCTTAACCATTGCTCCTTTGTAGGTGGGTCAGCTTTGCGGCACTCTCTTGTTATGGCCTTCTTGCTGGCTGCTAGCAGTGCCTTTACTAGATATCTGTCCCGATGTGGAGTGTTTTTTTCTGTTAGTATAATACAGGCATTATTATAGTTTTCATTGCTCCTGGTCTATCAAAGATGGAGAAAACTGAACATAAAGCAAGCAGTGAAAGGAAAAGTTCATTTTTCTAATCTTCTGTGTGGTTTGGGATTTTAGGATGTTTAAGACAAATCTGGGATTATGTCACTTGAAGTTTATATCTTCCAACTTCTCTTGTAAATAAGCTCAGTCAGGTTTTACTCAACATTCCTATGAAAATGCATTGTATCTGTGGTGATAAGCCAGTAAGTTAAATTAATTCACTTCATCATGTAATATCTGTAAAGCCATTTTAAAAAATATTTTAAAACTTGTATTATTTACTTCCATATCTGCCAAGTTAGCAGTCTACTTCTTTATCTTTCTGGCAAAACATTGCTGTGTTGTAAGTAAGTTTTCGTTGACACAGCTGCATCACCCACAAAGATAGATACATATTAGGAAATATAAGGATGACAAAACGATTACATACCGCTAAAACAAATATAACAGGTCCCACAAAGGCCCAGATTGTGTCAGTCTTCACATTGAGCCAGCAGTGATCATCTGCCTTGTACTTCTCTGCTGATATCGTCAATGTTACACCAACTATCAGAACAGGTAGTCCTGAAAAACAATTCAAAAACAGAAAATGATCTGTAGGAGTGGTATTACAGCAAAAGAAGCAGCTTGTTTAAACACATATTTATGCAACAGTGACTGTTGCAGTGTCTGCTGAACTGAGTATTTTGTCTGTTCTGTCTTCTGAGCCTGTTTAGTCTATGTTGTAACATTCAACACATCTACATGAAGAGACGAGAGAAACACCTGAAGACTGACTGTTTGTCTGTTCTCAGGTCATCATGCGACATAACACACACTCACAGATGGATTTGGGAACATGACTAGTAGCAGCTGCAGGATGATTGTTAAAAAAATCTGGGTTAAGGTTGCAGTACAACATAACATCATGCAATGATTTTTTTTTAGGTGTTGATATAAGGTCAGTAAAGTACTATTGGATATATTTTAAAAGGTGCAATGTTCACCAAAGGCCAGGCATCATTAGAAGTCATAAGGAATGGTATCAATAGAATGAAAGGATAAATTTCATATCGAAGTACATTAGGACTCATTGTCTGAGGACCATTAGAGTCACCACTGGCTCTATTTTCATGTTGGTACAGGACACAGAACACAGTGTAGGATGGTGTTTTCCTGTAGTCTACTGCATCAATTAGGTATTTTGGAATCACTTAGTGTTGTGATTCCAGTCCAGCACCACACAACCAAGAATGAATGATTCTCCACCACTCAGCTCAGCCTGCTCTTGTTTCTTTAATGGGTTGATCACCATATTTGCTGAAGCTTGACCATACACTATATACAAAAGATAGATGTAGCCTCTGGGTCGGAAAAGTGAAGTCAAAGCAGAAGTGCATACACTGGCATTATTTCTAGCAACCAACAGGGGGCTCTGGTTGCAAACACAAAATCTGATTTTATTGAGTCTATGAGAAAATGATCCTATTTCCCACTTGATCTGTTATCTCAGTAAATATTTAAACAGTAGTTAAAAGGTCTCAATTGCTAGTTCGAAGACTTTTTGAGTATGACATCATGTTTATTTAGTAAATTATGGGTTTATTCAGAGTGAAATAAACAACAAGGTGGGGATGCCTTGTCACGTCGCTGACATATTACTGTGCATAGTGTCGTTGGCTTCTCCAGTCAGATCCACTGCACATTTGTGACAAACTAATGGAAGATATTATTTTTGCAAAACACAGGTTTTGAATACAGTGTCCCACTCCAATGTAAACCCCATTAAAATGACACGAATGAATCCCCAACACATGTCAGCATCTTTAAAAATCATCCAAAAAGCGCCAAAATGACACAATATGTCAGAGCAAGAAATTCCTAAAACAGAAAGAATTCTCGGATTTGGATTTTCAGATTTCGGCACTTTAATCGTGTGCAGTTCTCTTGTAAAAGTTAAACAAATGTAAGCTTAAAATTGTGATATTTTATCAAAGTAAGAAGTACTCTTCATGTTTAAAATTAACTCTTTGCACCAGATGTTGCAAAAAAACAAACAAAAAAACCCAAAAATCATTTCTGTGCTCCTCAGAGCTACTGAGAAGCCATTCGTGACTAAGCAGCGATCAACAGTCACAGGACAAAAATTCAGGGACTATTTTGGTAAACTGCAGCTTGTGTTTCCACAGAGTGGAGAGGACACAAGCATGGGAACAAACTGAGGAAATGGAGAGGGAAAGAAAACCTACTTGATTAATAAAATAAATGCAGCATGGCTTCAGAATATTCAGTGAGTTCTAGAAGATAAATCCAACATGGTGAAATATCTTTTTAGAGTTATTAGATGTTCAGTTTAATTCAATTCAGTTTTATTTGTATAGCGCATATTTACAACAAGTCATCTCATAGCACTTAACAAAGGCAGAAACACCCAACAATCCAACATCTGGATTCCCTATAAGCTTCAGCAGTCTGCAACAGTGGGAAGGAACCGAAAACCCCCACAGGGGAAAAAAAACCTCCAACAGAACCAGGCTCAGGGAGGGACGGCCATCTGCCTCCACTGGTTGGGTGGATGTAGGATGAATTATACAATTTAGTGTACAGTTAAACAAGTTATTAGACGTTATTGTCCTTTTGTTCCTTCATTTCAAATGGACCAATGAAATATTCCGTTTCGTAGTTGCTGGAGGTAACAGGAGGCATCATGGTGGGGGCAGCAGGATGCAGAAAGTGAGGCCAGCAGCTGTAGTTCAGGAGCTCCACAAATGTTGGTATTAAATTATCTCCAGTATGCAGAGTCACCATTTTATCCAGGATTAGTAACACTTGTGGGTGCTTGTAAAAATTTTAGACATGTTGATTCAGATTTTTGAAATAGATTTTAAAAAACATTTCTTTTATATATTTGTTTTTACTCCAGGCTGGTGATTTTCAGTAATAAAGGGCTTACTGGCGCCAACAATCTAATGTTGCATTCTATCACCGAATCGTCATCTAATTTCCACATCACTGCTGTGGCAGTGTTTTTTTTTTCTAAAAAAAATAATCTCTTGCCTTGAAATGATTATGATGTAACTCTACATTGTTGTCTTCTCTAAAATGTGCAGATCTACAAAGTCCTAGTCTTCACCTCCACCCACCCCTATACCACTTGCTGTAGCTCACACATACCAGCTACCAACTACTCTACAATATATAATGGCAAGTAAGAATACTGGAGTCATTCAGCCATAGGTGCTTGAGGCAGAAAGTGACTGAAGAATAAGATTTATAAAGAATGTCCAAGTTGACAGGATTGGTTCCTTATGAAACCCTACAAGTCTGAATCCATGCTGCTGAGACTGGAAATACACAGCCATGGCATTGACTGTTTATTTCATTCATGATACATCTTGTACAAAATTAAAAAAAACACAATATGGAGATGGTAACCAGATAAATAAAAAGTGTCAACCTGTGCTTTGGTAATATATATTCATCCAATGCATGTCTGTTGGTTCAGTTTTGAAAAAAAAATGCCACATTTTAAATTTCTAGTGAACAGTACACAGTTAATATGTGCTGAAAGAACGAATCATTCAACCCTATAGCCAAACTAATTAATGTAAATATCAACTTTTAGTGAGACTATTGTGATGTTTTCAACAAAACTGTGCTGTAGCACTTTAGAGACAGAATCATTTGTCACACTTTTTTCTTTTGTTTGCTCTGCATTTCTATTTAACAGGTGTGTTATGTGTTTATTGTTGTTCTTAACCCAGATTTGACAAACTTCAAACAGCTTTTAAAAGAACATTACTTGTTTGATGTCTTAACACACAAACAGTGACAAAAGCAAACGTTCGATTTTAGAATAGAATTTTTTGGATCTTTTTTTTTTTTGCAAGATTGTATCTCGAGATATCAAGATAGTGATTTTGCTTTAATTACTTTATCTCCTTATCGGAAATGACTGATATTGTGAAAATCTGTTTGAATTGCATTTTTTTTTTAAAGCTTAGACTTAGAGGTGTAAAAGCTGCAAAAATATAAAGATGCTTACTACTGATGTTCCTCAAACCCTCTCCACTATATAGCCTCCCTCATTAACAAAACAGTATACATTTTTTGACTTTCTACGTAGAATCAAAAGAACTCATAGACGTCAAGCTAAAAATTCCAGGTGAGCTCTTCAGAATAAGCAGCTGCTTCATAGTTCACCAGGTTTATTTAGTCACAAGAGCTGCTTTTTCGAACTGTAAAATGCCTCAGCTACAAGCAAACACACCAGATGTTCTGCTGTTGACTGCAAGGGTGAACACAAGAATCTTCATACACTCCCAGCATCTAAGGAACTGTACACGTAGTGGACTGCTGTAATTATTGATGCCAATGACCCCATAAAAATAGAACAATCCTTTTGTTAGCATGTTGCGCAGCTAATGTGGCCAACATTACCATTAGCTTTGATCGTGTGACCACAGGCCATTTCAGGGTAATTACATTAATTTAACATTTAAGCTCTTATCTTAATCTTTGGAGGACACATGTTGTATCCTTTATTTTTTTTTTAGAGAATTCTAAACTACCCAGATATTTTTTTAATGTTATCGTTTATGTCAAAGAAAACAAATATTTCAATATGAAATTGTTATGTTGCTTCACGTATCCCACATCTCTTTCTGGGGACATTGTCTGGAATGTGGTATTATTAGAGTCATGATGGTGGGATACTGTATGACTTAGAAATGTGAAAAACCTATGGCAGAGAAACATTTCATTCATAAAGCATTTACATACAGTAACCTACTTTCAGAAGTGTACCATCAGAGAAGGCAAACCAGACAAATGTAGCATCCAGTCATGCAGTTTCATCTGCAATTTGCTCCACCTTGCTGCAATGAATGAGAGCTTTCCAAATTAGAAAAGACGAAGTAAAACTTGAATGTAAATGACATCTGTTGGGCTAATCAAAAATCCTTGATATTTTTAACCCATGATGGCACTCTAAATTTAGAATCTGATATTTTCCATCATCACTCCTACTGGACAAGCTGTCACATACTTTGAGTTATTATTAATCCATTTCAGGATGGATCAATATGTCTCCAAACTCCACATAGGTCATAAACCAAACTGAAACTTGACAAGCCACTGAAATGAGAGCTTACCCCAACCAATGATGTAGTAGAGCTTCATCCTGTGGTCCTCACTGATGTTCACGGACACAACTTTGCTCCAAAGCAGCAGACCCTCCACCAGCATCCAGGAGAAGGAGGCCATGAAGAAGAGGTGGAGTAGTACAGTCACCAGGAAGCATGCTGCCTGCAGTAATAAAGATACAAAAAGACATAGAAAAAATGTGACAGGAGCAAAAAAAACGTCAAGAAACTGTTCAGTAACCTACCAGAGAGGACATTTTAATAAACAGTTTTAAAATATATTCCACTTAGCTTTTGACTAGTGTTTCAATTCTTTTCCTATAAATTTATGGTTTCAATTGTTTTGTCAGTATTTTTAAAGCTAATATCATAATATACTCCATTTTATTCTCAGTAATGATTTGTGGAGTGTCCTTGAACATGATAAATTGTCAACTATGTTATGTATGTTGTATGCTCGTTGTATCTCTTATGTTTAAAGTGTGAAAGGATTTGTATGCAAAGGTATATAAAGGTATACAAAGAAGAACGACTATTATTGTTATTCTTATTAGTTTTTGAGATATCTTGATCAAGTGTTGGTCAAAAATGTATTCTTATGACATGTCTTGACCTTGACCATGAAGACATACTGAAATAAAGTCATTAAATGGTAAATGGTCTGCACTTATTAAACAACCTTTTTAACCTTAGCTCGGTCCTTTACAATGCATTGGCAAAGGCAGAGCTGCCTGCCAATGGCAGCACCTTGGGGTTCAGTGTCATGCCCAAGGACACTTTGGAACATGGAGGGGTCAGAGATTAAATCTTCTAATTAGTGGAGAACCTGCAGTACCACCTGAGGCATAGCTGACCCAGACTCCCGAGAGTCCTCACGAAATTGAGAATTTGTGGGTCATAAAACCAATACAGTATAATGCCATCGCTATGAACAACCTTTTCCACCTTACACATAGTTATTTGATCCATTGTTCACATTAAAATACCGTTTACAGCAGCTTAAAAATTTTTAACCAAGTTTTCAGGGGCTTCAAACCTAGCATGTGACATCCTTCATTCAAATATACAATGCCATTTTTCATCGGAACAAAAGATGTTACGAATATATGTTAGCCAAGAACCTGTTGCTTTCAGAGCTCCAATTCATTATGCAGTGAATGTAATTTGTGAAGTACTTCATAACAACACTCAAGTCCTGTCTGTATTTAGCTGTATTCCTTTGAAGCTACAGTAGTCAGAGAAATTAGATTTATGATTTTTTTTAAAAATTGCATGTGATAGTTCATTTAAATGAGTTTTACTATTATTTTGCGAGTATTCCTGATACCACATGTAAGTACTCATAAATATGTCTAATGTCAGGACTCACCTCATTTTCAGATGCCCAGTCACTGCACATCAGCAGCAGCTCAGCAATGCCCAGAGCAACTATCAGGTTCTTATGGACGGTGGTACGGTCAGATTTGGGGACACTGCACAGATACAAGCACACACAACATACAATATGTGAGTAAAGCTCTTACAGTAGTTCTCAGGATTTTTTCGAAAACTGTTTCTCTGCAGTGCTGTTCACACATCTACAGAGTAGTGTTCTGTTTTTCCTTTTTTTCCCATTTATTGATGTGAATCTGGCAGGGTTTTATGAAATGCTTTTCACCCTTGATGCTTTACAGAATGCACTCTGTGACGTTTGTGACTCACCCCACAGCGATGAAGAGGATGAAGGTGAAGAGGAGGCCACACAGAGACACTCCACAGCCGATGAACGTCAGCACCTGCAGAGCTTTTTCGCTCTCTGCCGTCCTCTGACACACAAGCACACACACAGACACACAGGCAGAGTGTATGCTGTATACATAGCAGCATGTTCTGTAGATGAAAGCCTACATTAAATTCATTGTGACAACTGGACAGAAAAAATGTTACCTGGGTTTCATACACCTGCAACAGCAATGCAAAATTGGTGGTGTGGTTGCAGTAGCACACAGTGTATCCGTATTGTTTGGACACTACCTCACAGCCCTTGGTATTCCACCATCCACCCGCCTCTGGACTAAACACAAACAGCACATACTTACATATTTATATATAGAGGAATGCCAGGAATGAAAATATTATCCTGTCTAAAAGTTTTGCAGTCTTTTTTCATCTTTTTTTTTCACTTTGTTTTGATAAAACAGGTCTGATAGCTTTGGTATTGCAGAGGAATCTGAGAAATCTAAATTACACACAGATTTTAGAACCTTCATTAGTACTTACGTGAGATCAAAATCCCAGAAGGCACAGACTGGATCATACATAGTACCAGTTGGATTCTGTTTGAAGTGTAGAATATATGATGAGATTACATTTAATTGAGAAGAACATATGTCTGTAAAGAGGATAAATGTGAGAAATTTACTTTACCTGAACTCTGTGCTGGAGCTGAAATCGAACTGCAATGCTGACTGGCTGGTCATCTCCCAGCACTGTGGTGGATATGATAGAAGAGCCCAGGACGGTGCCCAAATACCTAGTTATGGACAAAAATGTGTGAATAATAGCAATGAATCAACACAAAGAGCAAGCAATGGCCTGTAATGAAAGAATTTGTAGAATATGTTGTTCTAAGAAAAAGAAAATGAACGAATGACAGCTTTGGGCAATAGAGACTTGTGGTTGAAATTTACTAGAATTTCGGCCTCAGGCTGCTCTGACATGATTGTAAAGCAGCTGTTATTTGCAGTTATGGTTGTGGTGCTGTAGTATGTTTGACAAGCTATGTCTCCACCTCTGACCGACTGGAGTTACTGATGTAACGACAGATATCTGCAATGTTATTTAACCTTGTCGAAACTCTATTTCAGGGTATGTGTGATTACATTTTGATATGGCAAAATTCCAGTTTGAGATATCTGCAACAAACTGCAAGGTGGATCAGTGGTTAGCACCGTTGCCTCGCAGCAGAAAGGTTCGCGTCTCGGTGAGGATGCCCGAGATCTTTCTGTGTGGAGTTTGCATGTTCTCCCTTCTACCCTCACATCAAGGAAAAAGTGCCTAACGTAATAACTGTAGCTATATACAATAACAACCAACTAGCACTGTTGAAAAAAAATATTATTACAGTGGCATGACATTTGCCAGCACTTCAGCATAAGCTGCATCTGTGCTTTTCTATAATAAGTGAAGAGGTGGAATAAACTCTCAGAAAGTCAGTGCAGTCCTGTAAGATAGCATTTAGACAGCAACAAAAATGTGTTGACAAAAGTATATAAGTAATCATTACTCTGGCAGACAAAACCACTTTCGAATCTGAAAATATTTTTTTTAAATTCAGTTGTCCTTAAGTGTACAAGCTATTTGCAGGTTGTATTGCAATTTCAAGCATTTTTCCAGCTCTACTTGTACTTGAATGTTACCTCTGGCTGCCATCAGTGACGGTGGGCACCATGGTGATGTTCTCCTCAGGATTGAAAAGAGGCCGCAAAGAGCCGTACCACGTGTTGACCAACGTGAGCCTATGGAAGCCTGCACATTCAACACAACAGCAAGATGAATGTTTCTTCAGCTTGCACCAGACAGCCAAAGAAAACAGTATTAAGAGAAATGTACTTCAGAAAGGATCACTTATTGTTCACAATGAAGAGTTGTTGCAAAACCCAACAATGCGCCTCCATCTGCACTTTACTGTATGACCTTGGGAGTGTAAGTAGGTAAATGCATGCTACACATTCACAAGTTTGTCGTTATTGCATTGTCCACTGCATTCACTTGCAAGACTTCACTCTGAATAAGTGGTTGCTGTAAGAGCAAGTGGAGGAAGATGATTGGTTTTTGTAGCAATCTCCTACCGTTGTTATGGAGATCCTGTATCTTCTCATGTGGGACTGAAATACAGTCTAAGTTGGTATGTTTTTGTGTCTCAGGCCCACAGAAACTTGATCCTCTGGAACCTTCCTGCAACCTCTGCTGTTGCACCTCCAGCTCTGAAAAGGACAAAGTTCAATTTCATAAAAAATCTGAGGACCATTCACATGTCATTCAGAAATATCCTTACTAAGTTATGTTTCATGATTACATCTATTTCCACGGTGAAGAAATGTTTTTCAAACATTTGAATTCTTTGTCTATACTAATGATCATATGTGTGCCCAGATCACACTTATCTTACAACTGATTTTCCTGTAACAAACACAAGTCATATTATTTGTTTTTCTCACCATTTTTAATAATCAAACTATCAAATAGCATTAGTCTGAATTTTAACTGGTTATATTTGAGAGTGGACAGAGATACGAAAGCATGCGGAAAAAGCAGAGGTGGGGGTCTCATCATGTACGTTAACAACCGCTGGTGTAACCCAAGTCACGTTTCTGTCAAGGTGGTTCTGTGTTGTCGGGATTTAGAACATTTAGGCCGTTAGCCTGCGGCCACATTACTTGCCACGAGAGTTCAGTCATGTGATCGTGATGTGTGTTTACATCCCCCCGAGTGCCGATGCAGCCGATGCCTGTGAGAACATTCACACAGTCACAGCAAGGCTGCAGACCCAACATCCAGAGGCAATCATCATCATTTCTGGGGTCTTTGATCACGCCACACTGAACTCTGCCTTGCCTACTTTCCACCAGTTTGTGAACTGCCCCACCAGAAACAACC